TAGGAGATTAAAATGATCTCAATGAAGGGTCTGGGTGCCATGCCTATGTGGTTGTAACCCTGCAATGAAAACATTGCAGTTCTGCAGGAATGGCAATATTTACATTGCAGGGCTAACATGCCTCTAGTGTCTGACTTTATGAAATCCACTGGAGGCGCTTCTTCCCCTATCCCAATAGCCAAGTTAAAAAAAAATCTATACCCAATAGTCTCCTAATGTTTCCCTATGGGGATTGGCTGAGATCATCTACATTGATTATAATGGCAGGCTTGAGACTGGCGCGGCGGGCGGCTGAAAGATAAGTAAAACTCACCTTTCAAACCCTCACAGGCATGGGTGGGCTAAATAAGTAGTTTAAAACTATAATGATTGGAATACGTTTGTATTCCTAACACTACAGTGTTCCTTTAACCCCTTAAGGACCAAACTTCTGGATTAAAAGGGAATCATGACATGTCACACGTCATGTGTCCTTAAGGGGTTAAACATGAGTAGACCTTTAGCCCAGGTGTTAGAAAAGAGCCCTGGAAACATGAACTTGCTTTACCCTATTAACCATTCCGATGTAAGGAATGAAGTAACAAGCCTGAGGGCCCCATGGGATCTTAATCCTTATCTGCATAAAGTGTGCGCTCACAAGACTTGAACATATAAAATTAAAACCTGCGCTCAAACTCCCACTACTCCTCAGTGTCAGCACACATCAGCACAAATACATAAAACATAACCAAATGCAAGTTACCTGCTTTATCCCAAATCTCTATGCACATTGAAATAACAGGGAGTTTTTATTACCACTCCAATAGCCAGGGGAGCTTTATTTTTGATGGATATTAGAGTGGTGCTAAACCCTCCTGTTATTTAATGTGAATAGAGATTTAAAGGGACAATGTCGGCACCCAGACCACTACAGCTCATTGAATGTGGTCTGGGTGCAGTGTTCCTATTGCACTTAGTGCTGCAATGTAAACATTGCAGTTCGAGAGATTACATTGCAGCTCTAAGTCTGCCCTTAGTGGCCGTCTACCAGAGAGCCACTGAAGATGCTTCATGAATCAAATTGGACCTGTGGTCCGGTATATGATGCTGGATATCCTCAACCTCTGCATGATAATGAAAATAGTACAAAAAAGCGTGCGGTGCCACCACAGCAAAAGTGAGCGTTTCAAGAATGGACATCATTTTACATAAGAGGAAGAAAAGAAAGAGGAGGTTGCGCCTTAATGAAATTAAACTAGAATATACCAAGTATAAAATGACAAGAATTATATATAAGACAAATCAAATATAGGCCAAATATAATAATATTAAAAAAGCTAGGTCCAATGGATAAAAGTTCAATAGGAAAAAGCCTTGAAGTGGAACAGCCAGACTTTGGTAAAATCAGAAATTCTGCTTGTGTTTCCAGTAGTGCATGAAAGACATCAAAGGAAAGAAAAAACTCCAATGGTACAATACGATAAAAATATAAAATCAGTTCTACTTACATTTACCAGAGCTATATCCAGCTCTGGTTTGTATGGCATGAAGAGGAATGATCCCCACTTCTGGGATACATGTGGTAGGTAAATTCTTCAAATGGTTTGACAGTAATAGGAATCCAAATCGAGAAGATAAAAATGTCAACAATATAGTGCTCACTGTAGCTTTAAGACCATAGGGTGATATATAATGAGAAATGTACAAACATTTTATCGAGCAGACTGACTGATGTATAAGGCGTCGGTGGTATTCTCCCCACCTCGGATTCTTTGGTCCTCTTTGAGATGGTAAATCAGGATGCCAGGTAAAATAGAATATTGAAAAATTTTCCTTTATTGAATATAGATAACAAAATAAATGATTAAAAGTATCTACAACGTGTTTCACTTTGCAAGGCTTCTTTAAGTAGATAAAAATAACAGAGTAGTAAACCTGGTATTTGAGGGTTTATATAGGTAACTAATGGCACTTGAACTGTTTGAATTTAGCACCATAATGATGTCATGGGGGAGGAGCAACATCAATTAAGCATAAAAAACACATGTAATCATTCAAATTAATAATTAAAATCAACACAAGTTACATGCAGTATGCTTTAGATTTTGAAACGAGGTTTTGTTTTGCCTCATATTCGTCATTATATTAACAGTAGACCACGTGACGCGCAATATAACTTCCATGTCACATGGTTATGCTTTCAGTGCGCATGTGCAGTTTGTAGAATCTAGATTTACTTGCTCACTGGGCATGAGACGAAGTGGGCAGTTCAGGTGGGAGGGGAAATGTAGCCGTGATCGCACCTCATAGTCTTGGAGGTGCGTCACGTAACTAAAGGTATTCCCGAGTACATCCGCATCACGTGTTCCCATTAGTAATCCTGCAGGACATGCCAGGGTCGATCCTGGGTGGATGCACGGTGCCCAGGCGCCAGGAGGTGGGGGGCGCCGTGTGGAACAGGCCAATGGCCTGTCACAGGGAGCCCAGCAGGTGGCCAGTTGGCAACCCAAGGACGCCCCCGGAGCGGCGCTTGTCCCAGAGGCAGGTGCCTACTCTGCAGCAATATACAGGACTGGGCTGGGGTGAGGACAGAGTCACGAGGTGAAGGAGCGCTGTCTGAGCTGATAATCTTCCTGCTCCCTCGCGAGCCCTTTGTGGTGATGTCAGGAGCCGGAATATGATGTAATTCCGGCCCTGCATCACTAAACAGCACGAGGGAGGAGGAAGAGCATCGAAAACAAAAGGTAGGAGAAACAAGCAATACAATGAATTTGTGAGTGTGTGCAAGAGTGTGTGCGTGTGTATGTGTTTAATACTGTGTGTTTGTCGGTCTCTAAGTGTGTGTGTGTCAATAAGTGTGTCTGTCAGTGTTTGTGTGTCTGTCAGACACATACACTCACACACACTTACTGACAGACACACAAACACTGACAGACATACAATTAATGACAGATACTTGCAGATAAGACACACACACACTATCAATAGGTGTGTCTGTCAGTGTTTGTGTGTGTCAGCGAGTGTGTATGTCAGTAGGTCTGTCGGTGTGTGTCTGTCTGTCAGTAAGTGTGTGATTGTATGTGTCTAAACTTGAAGCACAGTATATAGTAGACATGGGAAACCAAGTATAGTGTCCCTACGGGAGAGGGCACCTCTAAAGGGGCTGAGTAGATACTGACAAGTAATATTAAAGTGTCATTATTGAAAAAAAGTGATAGAAGCCCTCCTTTGGTACTTGTAGCAGTTAAAACTTAACTTTTCATAAATATATGCGTGATAAAAAAAGAAAAGGGAAAATACATTTGTAACGGATCACCTGGCACCCCGACTGGGTACCTCCGTTGAAGGATGCTCCTAGCGCTTCCTGAGGACTCCAAGCACTCTGGCAGACACCACAATCACCGAACCGGAGAAACAAATAAATTCTCCCAAGCATATGAATGCTGTAGACAGTTGAATAGGAACCATACGAATAGGTTTACTCTCCTAGCAGTCAAACTGGAACAGCATACAATTAATCCTTCCCCCAATAATGAGACGACACTTCTCTTTGAGGGTTAAAACAGGAACTCACAATTTATGCAACACAAAACTCCTCCTCTGGGCCAGGCTAGATAATTGAGTTTCTACAATACACAAAGCTCAATTATCTGCTGGCCAGAAATAATACAGTTTCATAAAACACACAGGGACCCCAAAACATGCAATAACCCCATAAAAAGTATATCCTTGGAACTGGGGGATCTGGGTGAACCACATAGCCAAAATTCACCCAGATCCGTTCAGTACTTTGGAAAATACAGTTTAATGCAGATTCTGCAGAACATATACAGGCTAAATGAAAAACAATCACCCCACAATGTGTCCCCTGCTGCATAGTCCAAAACCACTGCACGATGTCTCCGTGCACCAAACACTGGCGAGATGGCACCGTGTCGAAAAGTCCAAACAGTGTCTGGGAGTTAAAATGGCCGCCATCCATTGTTCTCACCATGTGCTTCTGATACAGGAAATGGTGGCCACCCAGTAACTCCACAGTATGTCCCCAGATGGTTCAAAAAAGGGCCAGCAGCAGCACAACACAAATCCATTATGCCCAAATCATGTCTTTAAAGGGCAATACATCCCAGGGGCCATAGTCACATGGCAGGAGGCTGGCAACCAGGCTTCTCCAGTGCATAGTGGCGAGGTTGGTTCCGCCACAACATTTATACACAAATGATAAATAAAATCAGGTACAGACCCAATTCTTACACGGTGAAAGCCTGGCAGTCTGGGAGCAATCTACTAAACAGTGCTTTCTGGCAGTAAGCCAAACGACAAATTGCTCAGTCTAAACTGGATTGAATTTGTGAGGCTTACCTGAGTTTCAACCCAAAACCAATCAGAATCTACAAAGAGGACCATCTACTCGGACGGCAATAATAAATGATCACGGATAACTTGGACGTACTCTGGACAGGATATCTCCATATACTTGTCTTTGTAAACTGTCACTTTACAATAAATGTTGCACTGTATTTTCTGAGAAATATATATGCATACGAGCGTATAATAATTCTTTTGGGGGTGTGGGGGGACGGAGGAGGGATCTTGGGGGAGTTCTAACACTTTTCCCCCCCAGGACTTGACCCCTGTGTCTTGCGTTTCTAGTTGCCAGAGTGTCCTAAAAGCGTGAGAATATTTCTTCCAATCTCCGCAGGGACTGCTCCACAAAGTTGTGATAGTCCTGCTTGGACCGCGTGCTATTAGGCCTCAGTGAGTCAAGCTTGCCTGTCATCTTGGCAAGATCTTCTGCATTTGAGGTTTAGACTGCAATTAGCCTCAGGATTCAGCTCAGTAAGTGATACAGGCCAGTGGAGACCGGGATAAGCTACATCAGTCCAGGGGGGAGATAGGGCAGCAGAGGCCTGCTGTGAGGGAATATTGCCACGCAGTGCGGGAGATTGTCTACCTCCCCCGACCACAAAGCTTTGCTGGAGCCTCCAGCTTATGGGACAGGAGGCTCTCTGTAGAGCATCCACATGCAGTCCCACAGACAGACAATACACTATGTGCCGTATAAACGTGCTGATAAACGCCCTGCCCCTGAGCATTCTAACAATATATCAATGAACTAGTTTCTTCTAATTGTGGGTAATACCACAATCAGCTTCCCCTTACACACACAAAACACAACAAGCAGCCTCCCCATACACACATGCAACATCACAAGCAACCCCCACAAAGGGAACATTCCCACACAAGCAACAATACAATCAGCATCCCCACTCATTCACAACATTCACCCCTGGCTGTGCCCCATGCTTGTCTAGTGTACTACTTATGGGGACCCCAGAAACAAGTCACAAGCAAACATATTAATGGGACAGTACAGGCACCCAGACCACTTCATGTCATTGAAGTGGTCTGGGTGCACTGTCCCTGTGTCCTTAACCCTGCAGCTGCAACCATTGTAGTTTTAAAGAAACTGCAATGTTTACACGAGCTAATACTGCCTCTAGTGGCTGCCTACCATACAGCCACTAAAGGAGCTTCCTGCAGTTTCACGGAGTTTGACTCTATGAAACGACACTGGACATTCTCACGCTTTGCATGAGGATGTCCGGTGTCTTCAAAAACCCCATAGGAAAGCAGTAATGTCTGCTGAGGAGAAACCCAACCTAGCACTGAAGGGCATGGGCACATATGTCAAAAAAAAAAAACTATAACTTTGTAGCAGCAGCATGGGGAGGGGTGGTAGCAGAGGGCACTATAGTGTTAGACATACAGTTTTGAAGGTATGCCTAACACTATAGTGTTTCTTTAAATAGTGTTTCTTTCCCCATGCGAGAGCTCTTCAGAATGGCTCTGTGTATATATTTGTGGCTCGAAGTCCCCCAGTCTACTTCACTTTTCACTTGTGACCTCCCCCAAGTCTGTTCATATCATCTTGCAGGAAGTTTAGTAGATGCCTGGAAGTCACCTAGTGGAAGTATTGCAGGCTTACTCAGCAAAGGAATTGTAGAAATGTCTGCAATAGCCATCGCTGCTTACATAATGACATTTATTTCTGAAAAAAAAAGATGATTCAATGGAGAACTAAAAATCAAAATGAATTGTGTTTTTTAATCTTTAAAAATATGTAGCTTTCTGTATGCTAGTATAACCTGATGCTTTTTTGCGGTCGTCCCTTTAAACAGACGCTATAGTTACTAGAATCCCTATAGCTCAAGGTAATGCTTCAGCGGCGTAGAGCCTGTCCCTCCAGGTTGAGAACTGTAAATGCTGCCTTTATTGAGAAAAGCCTCCTTTGCACCACAGTTTCCTGCATGCTGCAAGGCAGTTCAGGGTGGTGTACTTCCTTCAGAACCAAGACAGCCCATCCTGTTCACCTGGGGGAGATTACCCCCACAATATAGTTGGTTTTCAGGCAGAATTAGGACGAATTTGTGGGTAAAGCAGCAGTATTTCAAGCTAAGTTTGCAGAGCTCCAGCCGTGTGCGACCTGCTCAGGTGGCTGTCAGTCCCCGCTCCGCATTGATTTATATGTTAGTCACAGTGTAGATTGCAGTCTATTCAGTTTCCCTGATCATTTCACCCAGAGATATATATTTGATTAAGATTTCACTACTTTTACACATTCTTCCTTCATGAAATTACCCATAATGTATACTTGCAAAAAATAAATAAAATGTAACTACTAACATACGTTATTTACCTGTAGAGTCCTACTCTGGATTTAGGCCCACCCTGTATATGTGTTTGCGTATATGGATCTGTCAATGTATGTGCATACATCTCAGCATTCAAATGCGAACAGTATATAAATACATCCCTGAATCCAAAGCCAAAACTACAAAAAAAAAAAAAAACACATACAAACACACCCTGCATTCAACCTTTACAATTATATACAAACACACAACTGTATTGAAACACCATTACATAGAAATACACCTTTGTATTGAAACACCCCCACCAACATGGGAAGAATATTCACATATATCCTGCACACAAAAACAAAACAAAAATCCTAAAAAATCTTATGAGAGGAATAAACCTGACACACCAAACAATATTATTAAGAGATGCTTTAATAAATTAATAAACAATTTTTAACTCTGTAAACTTGCAATGCTGGTTACAGTTCGTGAAAGGTTCCAAACATCTTGAGGGTAACCCACTAAATTCCAAATAGCAGCAAACTGAAATCCAAATTGGCTCAATTTTGCCGTATGTATTTCAACTCATTACCATTCGCAGTTCAGTGAATAAACTTCCTTGAAGAGAGAAGTGTCTCTTTCATTATAAATCCTACTGCTCTCAAGTTGCTATTTCATCAGAATTCCAGTGATTTACAGGTTTGTCGAATGGAACAAGATATTATAGGCACATGTTGGCATACACAGTTACCGTTTCGGCATTAGTGTTCCTTAATCCTTTTAGTGGGACATTGGAAGAAAAGTGGATGCTGTTGGAATCTGTATTGTAAGAATTAGAACCCACACAAAAATAAATAAAAATTGTTGATGAAGACGTTAAAAAAAAGCCTCAGTGGAGTTAAGATCTTTGCAGATCCATCATTTTTGGATTGTAGATTGTCAACATGGAGTTGTATTGTTTCATTTTCTGCTCACTGGGAACCCTGGGCAGTAGCGCACATGTCCGTCCTAGTATAAAGAACCTAACAAACCCTAATACTTTGTATGCAAGTTCTTTTTAGTAAGACAACCATCTGGTATTGCAGAATAAAAGAAGGTAACAGAGGCCCATGACAAGCAATAATAAAAGGTCACTTCTACTAAAAAGTATTTTTAAGACATTTCCTGGAGTTGGACACATCCTAGGAACCAGAGCGGCAGCATCCGAAAACAAATTCCAGCACACAAGGGTACGTGAAAGCCAGAATTTCCATGTATAAGCAAATGAAGATGGACTTTTTAGGGTGTTTGCAATCAATCATCCATTAGTGCAGACAACAATCTTGTTCTATGTTTTGATATGAAGCCCGTACTTTTCCCTTTATTATAAATATTCAGGCCATATTTGGTTTGTGAAAATGGTCAAATTAAAAACAATATATATATATAAAAAAAAAAAAAAGAGAGAGAGAGAGAGAAAAAAGATGATCTTGCTACATTCCAGCAATAAAGTATTTTTTAAAAAAAAAAAAACAACTTAAAATGATTCATGCTAGAAGTTTTGAATCCAGGATTAGCATGGTAAAATCTTTTTTTTTTCTCCTATCATAACGTGACTAATACATTCATATTTATCTTCTTTCACCTGCATTGTTGCATGCCATAAACTATGAGATATAAAATGCTTGACTATTCCTAAAACCACAAACAGCTCAGAATTAGCACTTGATGGTGTTAAACCAGAAAGACCTTTCCTATGTACCATTGTGGTTGATAAAGTCTTGTAAACTACGTAGAGCATAACCGTAAGTTGACCCAATCCACTGATGAAGGTTTTAACATGGTCAAATAAAATGGCAAAAGAAGGGATGGTCAAGAACCAATATGCCAACTGCCAAAACCCATCTTGCTCTAGAGGTGTTCGCACATCCTTAGTCATTTCTAATTCTAAGTGTTCCAGGTTTTCAAACCACACCAGCCACCACCATGAAAACCAAATATTATTCGTTCCAGTGACACTCCAGGTACCGAGTTTGCCCGAGGTAAAATTAACACCTCCAAATCGACCAATTTGGGCCCACCCCGAGTGTCCAGGTAAAAATCCTTCTACAATGTCTTTTAAACAGGATCCGTAGCAGAGGTCAGATTTGGCTAAAAGGGATTTATTCACAAGAGATGGTTGACTAAAACTATCAGGTAATGGGAAATCCTTCTGTAAAGGGTTTCCAGTGAGGGTTGGAGGTAAGATTTTCTGTAAACTGGTACCAAACGCAGATAAGCAATCTGCAGAGAATTCTCTTTTTGGAACAAAGTCTTTTACCCTTTGAACGCATAAATGTTGAGCAGCAGGGACGTTTTCATACAAAGAAGGGCGTCTTGAATCTCCAACATTGCCAGATCTAGCAATGGAGTTCGAATCATCCATTGTAGTCAAAGCATGGAAGGTCATCAACGTCAACTAACTTACACAGCTTCCCAAATCTTAGTGAATTTCTATGTGAACCTGAAAATAAAAATAAAAATTGAAATTGAGTAAAAAAAAATAAAAAAAAAATTCGATAACATTTACATCATGTAAAAACCATATTACTCTTTCACTAGATGCTTTATATTTATCTAATGCTTCTGCCTTATGACCAACCATAACATAAATGCATAACTGTTTAAAGGAACATTCTAAACCACCATAACCACTAAAACCTGCATAACTTGCCACTCTCCCAGGGTAAGTAGTCAGACCATTTGATAATTTACTTGGGGTTTATTTTTGCCAAGGGAACTAACTGTATATGCATGTGAGTATTTTTCCCGGTGCACAAAACTTGTGTTTAATGGAATTTTAAAAGTGTGTGTGGGGGGGTAATAATAATAATAATAATACATTTGAATGATTGTCACATCTTCTGTATACCAAAGAAGCTGTGACAGGCCCACCCAAGGTAAGCTGTCAAACTGATCTCAAACAGTTTACTTAACCACCCTAGGATCAGGGCCGGCCTTAGGGGTGTGCGAGCTGTGTTGCCACACAGGGCGCCATGGACCAGGGGGCGCCCTGCGGCCGACACAGCTCACACATTGCCGGATACCCAGGTGGAGGATTTCATTATTCTCCACCTGGGATAAAAAAACAAAACAAAAAAAAACAACACATTGCGGCGGGGGTGGGGCTTGATGTGCGGCAGGGCTAGAAGTACCAGGTAATTGCTGCATGGGAAGCAGGAAGGAGTCCCTGCTTCCCCAACAACCAGAATCCAGGAGCTGCACTACTTCCACCTCCATAATGAATAGAGGTAACTATGTGTGACTGTCTGCCTCTGTATGTGCGCGCGACTGTCTGCCTCTGTATGTGCGCGCGACTGTCTGCCTCTGTATGTGCGCGCGACTGTCTGCCTCTCTGTGTGTGTGTGACTGTCTGCCTCTCTGTGTGTGTGTGTGACTGTCTGCCTCTCTCTGTGTGTGTGTGACTGTCTGCCTCTCTCTGTGTGTGTGTGACTGTCTGCCTCTCTCTGTGTGTGTGTGACTGTCTGCCTCTCTCTGTGTGTGCGTGTGTGTGACTGTCTGCCTCTCTCTGTGTGTGCGTGTGTGTGACTGACTGCCTCTCTCTGTGTGTGCGTGTGTGTGACTGTCTGCCTCTGTGTGTGTGAGACTGTCTACCTCTGTGTGTGTGAGACTGTCTACCTCTGTGTGTGTGAGACTGTCTACCTCTGTGTGTGTGAGACTGTCTACCTCTGTGTGTGTGAGACTGTCTACCTCTGTGTGTCTCTGTGTGTGACTGTCTACCTCTGTGTGTCTCTGTGTGTGACTGTCTACCTCTGTGTGTGTGAGACTGTCTACCTCTGTGTGTGTGTGACTGTCTGCCTCTATGTGCGTGTGTGTGACTGTCTGCCTCTATGTGCGTGTGTGTGACTGTCTGCCTCTGTGTGTGTGTGTGTGTGTGTGTGTGTGTGTCTGCCTCTATGTGTGTGTGTGTGTGTGACTGCCTCTGTGTGTGTGTATGTGTGTGTGTGACTGTCTGCCTCTGTGTGTGTGTATGTGTATGTGTGTGTGTGACTGTCTCCCTCTATGTGTGTGTGACTGTCTCCCTCTATGTGTGTGTGTGTGACTGTCTCCCTCTATGTGTGTGTGTGTGACTGTCTCCCTCTATGTGTGTGTATGTGTATGTGTGTGACTGTCTGCCTCTATGTGTGTGTTGTCAGGGTATTTATATCGGCAGACATCTTGTGCTATGATAGAAATTAAAAGTGTATATGCTGAGTCACTTTTGAACAGAGCGAACTCCATTTTGTTATTTTCAAGTTAATAAAAAGACAAGATTTCTATCTGTAAAACTAACCACTTTGCCCGAGCTAAAGGAATGCATAATATATACAAACCAAGTGATAAGGAGAACGGGGGTTGGACAGACTGTCTAAATGGTAATGGAATAGATGCATTCTAAACCCAGACATTTGTGACAGAGGAGATTAAATAATAAAATTTTACTTTCTATATGTACAAGGTCCCATTGTAAGTTACGGGTCAAAACTCAGAATTTGCCAGACACAGTCTGGACAAAACTTAAAGAAACTGTTTGATCTGACAGAAAAACTTAATTATGACCACGATAAAGATAAAGCCAAAATGACGTCAAAATAGCCACCAGGAAAAGTTAACTCTTTACTGGATAGGTATGTTTAGTGGGACAAGACTGCCCTCTATAGACCAAATACCTAAATTGCGATCCCTAGGTAAGCACACCTCTAGTGCTTCTATTGGGTTATCAACTGATGACGTACAGAGAGTTTGGCCCTTTAAAAGTTAGGACAAAGGGAAGATAGAAGGGTAAAAAGGAGGAAAAAGAGGAGAGAGGAATTGGAAGTTTGGGGACTCCAACTCGGACATGCAGAGAAACCCAGGACAACATCTGAGACTAACACTCTACTCTTAAAACACTTAGAATTTCACTGACTTTCTAACCAACACCACCTTTCACCATAACTCATGCAGAGAGACATCCAAATAAGTTCCTGAGACTAACTACCAATCGGATGAAAGATCTACTCAACTGGTAATTATACTGGTTTAATTTAATTAAAATTTTCTAATAGCATGATATATGACTGGATAAAGCACGGTCAGATTTCCATATTAAGAAATCTTAGTTAACTAAAGAATATATAGTTATAAACATTCCATTCTGCAGGTGGAATTAAGAATAATTATATATTGATGTGATATTATCACGTGGTAGCATACCATTGTTTTTATCCAGGTGTATTGATTTGTTCTAATATAAGATAAGATATCTATTAGACAAATTAAAAATCTGCTTATAATATTGTAGATTCTCTTATTGGATGGTTCCAGGAAATGACTAATGAACTGGTTTAAATGTTATTTTATTTAGAATTACATAAGAATAGGTCTTAATTACCTAGAAGGTCTAGCCAGCATTGAAAGGGTTACTCTAACTGTTAGCCAGGGTTTTATGGCCCTTCGCTGTGAAAAGCAGTTAGTGTCTGTAAGGATACCTCATAAATCGTGTAAGACTTGACAGAAAATGCTGTTTAGCCATTGAAACGTGTAAAGCCATTACTTTGTATTGCATACCATTTTATACTGGATATTCATTGATTATTGCCACGCATGTTACATATTATTATTAATTAATTTGTTATTATAAAATAAATCTATTTTTATAACAACATTGTGATATTATTTATATGAAATACGTTCCACTTACGATAACGATCTTTGGATCTGAGAATTGAATTAGTGGTCAATTCTCACTGTTTACTATTATTATCCCATAAATATCCCCACAGTGTGTATGTGTGTGCGTGACTGTCTGCCTGCCTCTATGTGTGCGTGACTGTCTGCCTGTGTGTGTGCGTGACTGTCTGCCTGGCTCTGTGTGTGTGTGTGACTGTCTGCCTCTGTATGTGTGTGTGTGTGTGGGTGTGTGTGTGTGTGACTGTCTGCCTGCCTCTGTATGTGTGTGTGTGACTGTCTGCCTATGTGTGTGTGTGCGTAGCTGCCTGCCTCTATGTGTGTGTGTGTGTGTGCGTAGCTGCCTGCCTCTACGTGTGAGTGCGTAGCTGCCTGCCACTGTGTGTGTGTGTGTGCGTGTGACTGCCTGCCTCTGTGTGTGTGCGCGTAGCTGCCTGCCTCTGTGGCTGCCTGCCTGTGTGCGTGGCACTTTTTTGCATAATGAAGCAGTTTTGCTGTATAGATCACACCTCCCTGCATGTGACTTGCACAGCCTTCCTAAATATTTCCTGTAAAGAATCATCTAATTATTATTGCCAATTATATAGCGCCAACAGATTCCATAGCGCTTTACAATATTATGAGAGGTGGGATGTAACTATAAATAGGACAATTACAAGAAAACTTACAGGAATAGGTTGAAGAGGACCCTGCTCAAAACGAGCTTACAGTCTAATGTTTACACTACCTTTATTGCAAATTCTGTTTAATTTAGAATGTCTTATCTCCTCCTCTGTTAATAGCTTGCTAGACTCTGCAGGAGCCTCCTGTATGTAATTCAGGTGCAATTTTTATAGCAGGAGATATAACATTTTAAAGTTAGTTACACCTAAATTTAAAAGGAAACCATTTTGCTTTCATGCAGAACATGTCAGTCACAGCTAGGGGAGCTGTGGTTAGGGTTAAAACAGAAACAAAAGTGATTTAACTTATAAATGGCAGAGAATCAAGCAGTGAAACTTCAGAGGCATGATCAATACACCAAAACTGCTTCATTAAAAGGACCACTATAGTGCCAGGAAAACAAACTCTTTTTCCTGGCACTATAGTGCCCTGAGGGTGCCCCCACCATCAGGGTCCTACTCCCGCCGGGCTGAAGGGGGAGGAAGGGGGTTAAACACTCACCTTTCTCCAACACTGGGGACTCTCCTCCTCGGCCGTCATCGGCTGAATGCGCGGCAAGAGCCGCGCGCGCATTCAGCCAGTCCATAGGAAAGCATTCTCAATGCTTTCCTATGGACGCTGGCGTCTTCTTACTGTGAAAATCACAGTGAGAAGCGCGGAAGCGCCTCTAGCGGCTGTCTCTGGATTAACCCATTTGTAAACATTAGTAGTTTATGGTATCGTGTATGATACATATGAATGTGGGCTGTGTATGAGAGCTGCTGTGTGTGAATGGATGTGTCACATTGTGTGTATGGTAGTGTGTGGGGGCTGTTTGGGGTATTGCATTTGAGAGGCTGCATGCGGGGTTGTGTGCATGTATGTGTATTGTTAGTGGTGTTGCGTTTGTGGGGATTGTGTCTATGTTTGTGTATGGGCTGTTCGTATTATTTGTATGAGGGGAGGGTTATTCTGCATTTCTGTGTATATCTAGCAGTGTGGGTGGCTTCCCTAGGTTCCAGTGGGGACCAGATTGACCAGGTTTAGCTCAAGTATAGGAGCTGCAACAGCAGCTGCGGGCTGCTCTGGTACAGTGTTGGTTCACATTCACAAGTGCTGGAATGGAGTGATCTGAGATCACTTCCTCTACGTGCTGCAATGCATAAATTGAGGATTGTCCTTCACCACCTTTTCGTATTAGCAGATATGTGAAGTTTTACTGGGACTCCTGATAGGACAGAGCCTGTTTGGCTCTAGCAGCCTTGAGTGCTGTGCAAAGACACCTCGAGTGCTGTAGGTTGCCTACCCCTGCCCTAGAGGGACCTCACACACAGACCACTTCATTAAGCTGAAGTGATCTGGGTGCCTATAGTGGTCCTTTAAGCTAAAGTTGTTTTGGCGACTATAGTGTCCCTTTAATTCATAAATGGCAGAGAGTTGAGCAGTGAAACTTCAGAGGCATGATCAAATACACCAAAAGTGATCTAGTGTCCCTTTAAAAAAATAAAAATAAAAAAAAAAAAGAATTCCTAATTAAAAGTGATGAAACAATATACTGCATTTGTAATGGATGTATCACGATGGGCAAAAATAATTTTAATGACGCATTCCAATATACTTTTCAAAAGGTTAACCCTAAGTTAGCCACAATTGCTTGCTATGGTAAAGCGAAGGTTTGTCATCTGTGCCTGTGGTGGAACCAACCTCGCCACTGGAGGAGCCTGGTCACCCACCTCCTGCCACTGGACTATGGCCCCATGTTTAACACTGTTCTTTTTCCCTGCAGAAAGGCTGGTTTGTGCCTTTCTGCGGACTGTTAAAGCCATGCTACCCCAGATAGCTATTCTAAGGAGCCCAGCCGTATACTGAAAGACTGTATGAAAGACTTTGGCTCCATGGCGATTGAACTGTATGTATGTGATCTGAGCACCATCCAGTAATAATGTGCGCTCAGATCTAAGCTATCTGGGGATAGGTAGAATGTGTATGTTCTATGTGATAAATGTAACAGTATGTATTTTTATGTCTTTTATTGTCCTTTGTCTGCCATTTGGTAATGGAGTTTTGCCTCTGTCCTTGGAGATAATTGGATTACTTCCCAATTATCTCCAGGACAGAGAGGAGGGATTGTAAGCTTGTGATTGGTCAATGTCCAATATGTTTCCCAGTCTTCCATTTGGTCCCCTAGGGGAGTGTCCACCAGGTGGGGGACCTGCATAAAAGCAGGGCAGGTAGCCCCAGTAAATCAGTTCTGCTTGACCCTCAAACGAAGTGTCATCTCGTTCTTGGGGGGAATTGGATTCTAAGCTGATACAGTGCGACTGCCAGGAGTGTTAAATGTTCGTATGGTTTTTCCTGTTCGGCTGTTTACAGCATTCGTGTGTTTCCTGTTCGGGAGTTTGGAGCATTCCCCTGGTTCCAGTTCGGGACATTGGTGAATTCATGTGTTTGCAGTACGGGAGACTGGTGATTGCAGTAGCTGCCTGTACATCTGAAAAGGGGAATATCACCTAAACTGTTTTTAACCTCTTGTGTGCAAAACGGTCCATTACAATTGGTGGCAATCAACGGGATCATTCCCACAGCCCAGAAGGACAGCTACAAGGTAACACCATTCCCTGGATTTACAAATTGAGGGTAACGCTAGTATCCTTACAGCACCCCTATCTACAAAGGAACTCAGAAAATGGAGAAGTTTCAAGACAGATTGTTCTGTTACGTATCCCTGAGGTCTGGAGCAGTGTCAGAGGAGGACATGTTGAGGTACAGAGAGATTGCCAGAGCCGGATTGTGGGACGAAGCCCTAGAAAAAGTACAGTATTCGCGAGGGGATCGGCGCTGCAGCAGAATGCAGCGAATCCTGGCTCGAATGGCAGAGTAGATGCCCCTCCTGAGAAAAAAAACAGACCCAAGAAGCGTGGGCGACTAGACTCGAGATTCTAGTATATGCAGAACTGGCGCTCGACGACGCATACCAGGCGATACAGTGGTACGCAGCTCAGTGTGTCCCCGAGATGGAAGAGTATGAGTTCCCAGAGGGCGGAGATTATGCTGGCCCTGGCCTATTTTGGGATAATATTGATGATGAGGACTTTAGGAAAGCTACCGACTCCCATTTTTGGGACCTGTTTTACGACCGAGAAGACATGCTGGGTCTCCCTCGCGCTGTTGATCTCGAGGCAGACCTATGGTATCTGGTCGCCAAGGAATGTGAACTGGAGTGGTATTACCTGCGACTCATCAATGAGGCTAGGGAAGAGACAACCGGTCCTCTTCCCCAACAGCAACCAGCGGTACCCGAAGTAGCGGACCTCCTAGACTGGTCCTGCAAGGATCCCCAGCTGCAGTATGTATCCCAGGGAGCTGAAGGTGCCATCCTTCCTCCCCAGCGGTAGTGTGTGTTCTTAGGAGAGGAGACAGGTGGTCCCTCTCCCCAGCGTTCAAGTGAGTCCCAGGGAGTCGAAGGTGCCGTCCTTCCTCTCCAGCGGCAGTATGTATCCCAGGGAGCTGAAGGTGTCATCCTTCCTCCCCAGCAGCAGTGTGTCCGGCAGGGAGCAGAGACAGTCGTTCTCGCTCCCCCGCAGCAGGACAATATATTGAAAGGGGGGACAGTCGGTCCCCCTCTCCACCAGGAGAGAGAGTGTAAGGGAGAGGAGCTTGTTACCCCTTCTCCCCAGCAGCAGCGTAGCCCACCAAGGTGAGACACTAAGCTCCCCCCCAGCGCAGATGGGACCGTGGTCTCTGTGCCCAAGCTACAGGGAGTACAGACAGTCAGTCCTGCTCCCCAGCAGCAGAGTATTCTACCGGGAGGGGAGACCCTCGTTCCCCCTCCCCAGTGGCAGCCTAGCCCACCAAGGGGAGATGATAAGCCCCACACCGGTGCAGATGGGACCGTGGTCTCTGTGCCCAAACCACAGGAAGTAGGGATGGTCGGTCCTGTCCCCCAGCAGCAGGGCTGTTTATCCAAAGGGGAGACCGCCTGTCTTCCCCTCCAGCAGCAACACCAGGTCCAGAGCGAGGAGCCTACTACCCCTTCTCCTCAGTTGGGCTCCAACCAGGCTACTCCCGTGGTAGCGCTGGCACCAGAGCAGAGTACCACTGGTCTCTGCCCACTCAGCAACCCACCGATCCGGAGGGCTAGTAAACCCCAGAGCCGTGGTGGAGCCCCTGGACATGGACAAGCTACCCACTACCCCAGGTGCACTAACCAAATTTTGTGGGTGGGCCACTCTGTTGATTATGTGTTGTGGGTGGGTTGCTGGACTAACCAGGGCACTGACCGACAGGAGGTCAGATGCCCTGTTAGTCTGATTGGTAAAGGGGAGAAATGTGGCGGAACCAACCTCGCCACTGGCCACTGGAGGAGCGTGGTCACCCACCTCCTGCCACTGGACTATGGCCCCATGTTTAACACTGTTCTTTTTCCCTGCAGAAAGGCTGGTTCGTGCCTTTCTGCGGACTGTTAAAGCCATGCTACCCCAGATAGCTATGCCATGGAGCCCAGCCGTATACTGAAAGACTGTATGAAAGACTTTGGCTCCATGGCGATTGAACTGTATGTATGTGATCTGAGCGCCATCCGGTAATAATGTGCGCTCACATCTAAGCTATCTGGGGATAGGTAGAATGTGTATGTTCTATGTGATAAATGTAACAGTATGTATTTTTATGTCTTTTATTGTCCTTTGTCTGCCATGTGGTTAATGGAGTTTTGCCTCTATCCTTGGAGATAATTGGATTACTTCCCAATTCTCTCCAGGACAGAGAGGAGGGATTGTGATGTATTGTGGGATTGTAAGCATGTGATTGGTCAATGTCCAATATGTTTCCCAGTCGTCCATTTGGTCCCCTAGGGGAGTGTCCACCAGGTGGGAGACCTGCATAAAAGCCGGGCAGGTAGCCCCAGTAATTCAATTCTGCTTAACCCTCAAACGAAGTGTCGTCTCGTTCTTGGGGGGGAATTGGATTGTATGCTGTTACAGTGCGACTGCCAGAAGTGTAAACTGTTCGTATATTTTTTCTTGTTCGGCTGTTTACAGCATTCGTGTGTTTCCTGTTCAGGAGTTTGGAGCATTCCCCTGGTTCCAGTTCGGAAGATTGGTGAATTCATGTGTTTGCAGTACGGGAGATTGGTGATTGCAGTAGCTGCCTGTACATCTGAAAAGGGGAATATTGCCTAAATGGTTTTTAACCTCGTGTGCAAAACGGTCCGTTACAGTGCCCTTGCCAAGGCCAACCGTAGGCACAGGCAAATGAACAATTACGCAGAGAAACGCAGGGGGCCCTGAGAAATAGCTAGCAGGTGTTAAAGACAAACCGCAGCATTTCTTCCAAAAGTCGCCGTGGCTTGATTGGGGTCCTGGAACCGCTCCCTCCTGTAGACGAATGGGGAATTCGCTCTAGACACCCCCAGGCACTGGACGACACTCAGTCTGGGAGCTCTAGTCCTTACAAGGACTTTCCGCGTTGAATCTTCTAGATTGGAACGGTGATTAAAGAGTAGCCTTTTCCCCTCCCAGTAACCAGCCGACACATAGCTTTGGGAGTAGAAACTGGAATATCTTTAATCTGGCCAGATGGGCTGCTTTTATACATTTTTGAATACAGTTGAGCAGGCCCATGACACTCACATAGAAAACAGGATAATCCCTCCCCTATGCCTGGGAGATAATTGAGTCAGGAAGTGTACAACACTAAATTATCTCTAGGCACAAAGAATACACGTCACAAACACCCCAAAAGTACATTAAATAAACCCTAACAGCAGAGGAGAATCACACAAACCATGCCAGTTAAATAGTCTTTTACAGGTTTCCCTGTAGGGTCCATAGTCTGTGGGCAGGAGGCTGGCAAGCAAGCTCCTCCACGAGCTCGTGGCAAACCCACGTAGAAAGGGGAGTTTGTCACAATAATGTTTATATTGTCTTGTGTATAATAATGTTTATATTGTCCTGTGTTATAATAAAGCCATGTTGTGTATAATGTTTATATTGTCCTGTGTTATAATAAAGCCATCCCGTGTATAATAATGTTTATATTGTCCTGTGTTATAATAAAGCCATCCCGTGTATAATAATGTTTATATTGTCCTGTGTTATAATAATGTTTATATTGTCCTGTGTTATAATAAAGCCATACTGTGTATAATAAGGTTGACATTGTGCAGTGTATAATAAGGTTGACATTGTGCAGTGTATAATAAGGTTGACATTATGCGGTGTATAATAAGGTTGACATTGTGCGGTGTATAATAAGGTTGATATTGTGCGGTGTATAATAATGTGGATATTGTGCAGTGTATAAAAAGGCTGATATTGTGCAGTGTATAATAAGGCTGATATTGTGCAGTGTATAATAAGGCTGATATTGTGCAGTGTATAATAATGTGGATATTGTGCAGTGTATAATAAGGCTGATATTGTGCAGTGTATAATAAGGTGGATATTGTGCAGTGTATAATAAGGTGGATATTGTGCAGTGTATAATAAGGTGGATATTGTGCAGTGTATAATAAGGTGGATATTGTGCAGTGTATAATAAGGTGGATATTGTGCAGTGTATAATAATAAGGCTGATATTGTGCAGTGTATAATAAGGCAGATATTGTGCAGTGTATAATAAGGCGGATATTGTGCAGTGTATAATAAGGCGGATATTGTGCAGTGTATAATAAGGCTGATATTGTGCAGTGTATAATAAGGCAGATATTGTGCAGTGTATAATAAGGCAGATATTGTGCAGTGTATAATAATAAGGTTGATATTGTGCAGTGTATAATAATAAGGTTGATATTGTGCAGTGTATAATAAGGTTGATATTGTGCAGTGTATAATAATAAGGTATATATTGTGCAGTGTATAATAAGTCTGATATTGTGCAGTGTATAATAAGGCTGATATTGTGCAGTGTATAATAATAAGGTTGATATTGTGCAGTGTATAATAAGGTTGATATTGTGCAGTGTATAATAAGGTTGATATTGTGCAGTGTATAATAATAAGGTATATATTGTGCAGTGTATAATAAGGCTGATATTGTGCAGTGTATAATAAGGCAGATATTGTGCAGTGTATAATAATAAGGTTGATATTGTGCAGTGTATAATAAAGGTATATATTGTGCAGTGTATAATAAAGGTATATATTGTGCAGTGTATAATAATAAGGTGGATATTGTGCAGTCTGGGACCCATTACCTGCAGTCTGATATTTAACATCATGGAGGCGATGAGGTACATGTATGGGATCTGGATCTTCACCCTCCAGCCCAGTTTGAAGAAGAAGAGCAGAGTGCGGCTCAGCACGGAGGAGAAGAGCCCATAGGAGCGGGCGGCGCCGGACTGACAGAGCCAGGCTACCAGCTGGGACCGGGCCGCCATACACC